TTGTCACGTTAGTTCTTAGGAACTTCAAATAAAACTATAGTTATAGAACTTTCTTACTCCATCCCATAGGTAAAGGTAAGGTTTAGGTCTCTTATGAACCTCCACTCGATCTATTTGTAAAGGACGGCCTCTTTCCCAATCACAAATGTGAAACATACATTCTCGTAGCACGGTCGGTTGCTGAATGTGAAACCTTCAGGATTAACTGTTAGGTATCAAATGAAAAAGGTTCTGGCGATCATTTATATTTCTCGTGGATAAAGTATGCCCCGAAATACTTGAACTGCACAGCCCCAAGATACAGATACACTCCAATTTCGTTTTTTGGCATGGCAAATGGATTTTTGCATGAGTGCAGCAGGGTCTAGTTTGGCCGGAACCCTGAGCTTTTCTAGGACTCGCAACCTACTCTTGTGAGGAATTGTTGGTTGTATCTTGTTGAAACAGTGGAAGTAGACTAAAGGGGTTATAGGATGAGCTGCAAGGAATCCAAATATGTCGCCGTAGAAATCATTCTGGCAAGAAAAATTTTCAAAAATAGATTGTCAAAAGATCAAACATTGCAAGAATACGTGACGTGAACGCAAAATTATATTTGATAGACGTACGAATGATTATGAACAAAATAAAATATAGAAGTGTAAAATTTGCATATTAAAATAATAATAATTATATATTATTTTTTAAATTTAATTTATATTGAGTTTTGAAACTAAATAATAATATTATAACTTTAACTACAAAACTCATGCCTATCCTGATAGATTAACATAGGATTTAGTTGAGTTAGACTTGGACAAGTTTAAATTTAATAATAATAAAAAAAAATCAATCTAGGATCTAGTTGATTTGGACCTGAACTAGAACTAGTTCAGTTTTAAAAAAATAAAAAAATAATTAACCCGATCTAAATCGATCAAAAACTCAAGTTGACCCATAATTAGGTTAATTTGAGGAAAAATTCGAGTAAAAACCCTATTGATTTTTTTTTAAAAAAAATATTTATTTTTGATTAAAACAGCATCGTGTTAATCTTTTTTAAGAAAAACAAATTAGAGTTAGCTTATTTAGACTTGGATTGACTCTCTTGATCAATGATTTGAGTTTTGCAATAAATCAATTTTTGATAAGATTTTAAAACTATAATAATAATTATACGATCATGAATCCTTTCATTAGAGCTATATAAATCAGAAACCAGAGTTTTTAAACCCGTCTGGTGGCCGACTCGACCGAAGACCCGGGTTTTAAGTTTTGACTGGGTTACCTGGGTCAATTCTATTTTTTTAAAAAAATCAAAATGACATCGTTTTAGTACAAAAAAACAAAAAGCATATGGTTATAACTGGATTTTGACCGAGTTGTCAGGTCAACCTGCTGGGTTTTGACTTTCTCTATTTTTTCTTAAACCATGCCCGAATCTAATTCTAAATCGGTTGGATCACAAGTCGACTCGTTTGGCCGAGCCGAGTTTTGAAATTATGGTATAAACCAGGATATCTCTCAATACAACTGTCCTGCATCTTTGCTGGAGCCTTTGCTGATGGATAACATGTAGCAAATCCACCACCAACATAAGCCATACCACAATTGAAAACTATATTCTGCTTGTGACTCTCTGATGTGCTCCTTCCTGCATAATAATACCGATCATGCTCACCCTTGATAAAACCCTAATCAAATTATCAGGAAAAAATAGAGTATCATTGTCTCCCATCACAAACCACCTCATGCCCAGCTTCGAAGTCTCTGATACTATCCTCGTTAGCGGTAAAGAAGACCTGTCTCTGATAGAGTTTTCATGCTTGAGGGTGTTGTTAGAGATCTTTATTGGTGGTAAAAGATGATCATTTGTACAATTATTTATCCTGTTCAACCAAACTCCAACATAGCAATTTATGATAAAAATAATTATAGTTGCACTGCATATCTAAAAAAGAAAAAAATGAAGATTTTTTGTAAATATGAAGTTATATGGGCTAGAATTAATAAGTTAAGAATCTTTATAAAAATTACTCTGATTTTAAAATTAATCTATTTATTTAATCAAAGATTTAAAAAATAATTTATATTAGTTTACGGAAATCATGCCAAACAAACTCTTAAATAAAAACCAATATTGTAAATGATAAACCTTCAAGTTTTCTTAAGACATAAAATCAGAAACAATCCACTCAAGTTCTAATTATGTACGAATTTGGTCTTTTATATTAAGATGAATTCAAATCAAGATTTCTAATGAATATAAATAAATACAAACTATTGTATAGAAATTATAATTACAACTATATAATTGTAAGATTCTTTTATTCCAATACTTTAGGTGAACCTCCATTCATATCTTAAAAAAATTATTTTTTCAAATTTTTTTATTTCTATCATGTAATTAAATAACATACACACATAATTTTAATAGTTTATAAAAACTTATTATTTATAAATTTATTTAAATCACCAATATTTTTGAGTGAATTTAAATTTATCAATTTTTAATTCATAACAATAATAATAATCAATTGTAAAATTGATGATTGAAGCCTTAGAAAACGACGTCGTATCCTCAAGTCTATAAAAGAGAAAAAAAATTGAAGGTGGGAGGATCTTTCTGCTACAGTCTAGTCCTCTTCAGTTTTTTGTTGCTCCTGAACTAATCAAGCACTGGACTTTTTTCAGTCACAAAATCACTAACCTCAGAAACCCTAACGAATTCTTCCTTAAAATGCACAAAATACTAAAACCCCAACATCTGCTCTCAAAAAAACCAAACCTAACCCATTTTTTCTCATCAAAAACACCCATTCCCTTACCCTATGGGACAGAAACAAATGACCCATCATACAAAGACATACCAAAACCTGTTAGAGACAAGTCAGAAAGAAAACCATATGTAACACCTATGAAAGTGCTCATTAAAAGAGCTAAAGAAGAAAAGGAAGCGAGAAAGTTAAAACCCTGTAGAATGTTGGAGAATCCACCTGATAATGGTTTGTTAGTCCCTCAACTTGTCCCTGTTGCTTACCAAGTTTATGAAGCCCGTGAAGTTTTGCTTTCTGGGATTTCTAAGCTTGTTAAAGTCATTCCTGTTCAGAAGTGCAGGTAAGAACTGGTTGAAAGATTGGATTTGGATTTTTGGGTCTGGTTCCTTTTGTGAGTTTAGATTGGATTTTAAATGGGTTTTGTGTTTTAATTTGGTTTAAACTTGAATTTTGTTATTTTGATTTTCATGTTAGTAAAGAAACGAGGTAAATTATCAAGTTCAGACAAAATGAAATGAAAAGGAGACTCAGTTGGCCTGTGGTTGTGGGTCTCTTTCTGAATTTCTGTTTAGAAATTTGAATTTAAAATGATTGGAATTGGAAGGAGAATAGGATTTCAATTTCAATGAATTTGAATTTACTTATTACTGTGATGGATATTGATTAAAGGAATGGAATAATGCGTTCACTGAGAATAAGATCTATTATTTATTGTAGAATTATAATCCGTGTTACTGGTTAACCAAACAATACTACTTTAGGAATGGAAAAGGAGATCTTGTTTCACTCTTGATTTCCGAGTGAGTCAAATGTGGTCATTTTGGTATTTGTTTCGAATTTATTCTTAGTGCAGTAAATAATGAATAATTAAGAAATTTACAATTTTGATTGAGAATTTAAGATTTCTGAGAATATGGTTTGGTGTAATTGTATTAATTTTTAGTTTGTTGGTCTACTTATTGTCCTTAGGTTCTCTAATCCAGGTTCTGCCATGAGTTACATATTGGTCATGTGGGTCATGAAATTCGAACCTGCACTGGTCCTGGAAGTGGAATGAGGAGTTCCACTCATGTTTGGAGAAAGGGGAGAGTGCATGATGTGGTTTTTTCCCCCAAATCCTATCATCTGTATGATCGTGTTGGCAAGCCAAGAGTTGTGCATGATGAGAGTCGCAGGGTCCCTCGTATCCCTGCCATTGTAGAACTCTGTATACAGGCTGGTGTCGACCTTGAAAAGCACCCTACAAAGAGGAGGACAAAACCCGTGTACTCAATTGAAGGAAGAATTGTAGACTTTGAGCAAGCGAAGGAAAGTGATGAAAATGAGCATAATTTGCATGATGAGAACCTTGATCCTCTGATGGGTTCCGATCTTGGGACCAAATTTGATGAAGCAAGAAATTTTATAGTGGATAAAGAAACTGATCCATTGGAAGAATCACAAGAGGGAGTGACTGATTTAAGGGAAATAAGCATTGGGACCATGGAGTCATGGTTCAAAATGATATCTGGGGCAAAGAAGATCATGGAAAAGTATGGTGTGTTAACCTGTGGATATTGTCCTGAAGTTCAGGTAGGCCCCAAGGGACACAAGGTGAGGATGTGCAAGGCAACAAAGCATCAGCATCGTGATGGTCTGCATGCATGGCAAGAAGCAACTATTGATGATCTTGTGGCCCCCAATTATGTTTGGCATGTTCGAGATACGAATGGGCTTCCTCTGGATAACAAGTTGAAGAGGTACTATGGCAAGGCTCCAGCTGTAGTGGAGCTGTGTGTGCAGGCTGGTGCACCTGTTCCAGATCAATATCGAAGTATGATGAGACTAGATGTGGTTCCTCCCGACCGTGATGAAGTTGATCTTGTTGCTTGAATCGATGTCCCTTTTTATTAGCTTTTAGACAAGCTGTGGATGGTGAAGAAAATTAGATTTCATATCTAGATGCATGGCTGGGGCTTCATTAGGCATTATGGTCTGTGTACCACTGCCCTTGCTCTTCGTTTTCTGTTGCTGTCTTGTGGAAAATGTCAAACTTTGTCCAGGGTTTATTATTGGGTTGTTGGTTCTCTTCAATATCGCGAGATCAACTCCTTGCAGTTGTGCCGCTGGGTTGGTGCCCCCACCCCCCTCTTTTTTTTTTAAAAAAAATAAATTATAATTGACCTTGTAAATAGAAATCACTCCATGGGGCTAGCCAATTACGAAGAGAGGTCACATGAAATGGGAATGAAGAGTTGCGAGCATGAAATTTTTTGAAAAGAAGCCCTTTTAAATATGGAAATTGAAAGTCCACTTCAAGTAACCTGCAAATTTATCTCATTTGATGCTGTCTTTGCCTTGCCCCCTTCAGCAATCTTCCTGTATGTTCTTTGGTAAGTTATCAATTGGCTTTTACTTTCTTGATATTATCCTGATCTATGCGATCAAGTTGTAAAAAAGAAGAAGAAGAGAAGTTAGTTTCAATTTTGCTCTTGCCTAACAACTCTTGCGCTGCTAATTTACACCCAAATGCCCATATTTGTGCTACTGAAGAAGCATTGTTCTATGGGCTGTCTTCAATCTAACTGATCTCATTCTCTTTAAAGTTTAAATTATGTTTTCGTGGGTTAAATCGCTGAAAGGACTGCTCCGTCCTCAGTGTTCCTGTCATCTGGTTCTTTAAGACATCAAAGTTTGTTATTTTGTCAGGTGTGCAGAAATTGACTTTTCAGTTCTCTACTGGAGCAGCGTGATGACGATGGACGAATCCATTTTATTTGTAAATAAGCCTTTTGTAGGAGATTTTCGGTGCCAAAGCTTCGGCATGGCGCTTGAAATTCTGGACCCGGTGCAATTTACTGTTTCAAGACGTCTACATTCTTTAAGACATCAAGATTGTCCATGCAGTAACTTATTCCCTCGCTCTCATTGTACCTGGTACAATTTTAATTTCTGGTCCTTTACTTCGTACTGATTTGGTGGCAGTAGATATCGTATTAAGATAATAATGTGATAGTGATTTTCATTTTTTTTATTTTTTTTGAGTTTATTCAAAAACGATATATATATAATTTAAAGCTAAAAAACATACAAGTATTTTCAAAAATGTAATTGAACTACGAATATTTATGTGTTTGATATTTGTAAAATAATTTGTAAAAATATTTTTCACTTGAAAATACATTAAAATTAAAAAAATCAGATTTTTATTTTATTTTTTACATCAGCAAATTAATACTATTAATAAATATTAAATATATATTAAATTAATATTTTTTTAAAAAAATATAAAAACATAATCTATCTAGCTCTCAATCAGCAAGACATTTAATTGCTGAAAGATATTGTCATTAGGGGGGAGGCGGGGCTGGCTGGCAGGACCCCGGCTCTGCCAAAAAACAAAAACTAATAATAAATAAATAAAATCCCGGTTTTTCCTGAAATAATTATAAATTTTAACTCTGAAATTAGCAATTCTTAACTTTTGCCCCTTTTAAATTAGTGTTTCTAACTTGGCCCTTTCAATCCTCATGTCCTAGCTCGGCACCTGGCTGCCATGACCTTTTTTCAGGAATTTGGTATCAAAGTCGGTTCAGTTCGTCATTTCTGGAGAAATTGATCGTCCAGTTCTTTCCTGAAGATGGATGTGACAATGTGCAGAGCCAGCTCTCTGATTGTAAGAACTGTGTTGAAAATTTTCAGGTTCCAAAGCTGCACCATGCCGTCTGAAATTATGGATCAGACTTGCAATATGCCCCAACATAATTTCTCGAAGGCTTCGTTTTCCTTACGTGGTACTCACAGCATCCAGATTTGTCTTTGAGTTCAGAACTCTTCAAGTTTATGATGCCCGCTCACGCGTCACTCTTTAATTTCTTTTAAATTGGGAGGAACATATATATATATATATATATATATGGACATTTGAGGCTGTTAGAATGATGGGTCAGATTTTTTTTTTTTTAAGATTTGAAAAATCTATTTTCAAGCTTTTTTTCACATGAGAATTTATATATATAAAAAAAGACTGTGATTTAAAAACCTTAATAAATTTTTTTTGGTCTTGATCCAATATTTAATCAGTCAGGAAATGAAAATTAACTCAAATGTCAAAAAGATTTAAGCATTAATTAGTTTTTTTAGCAAGATAAAGGATTCAAAACATAGTAAATGAATTCGTTTTATCAAATAAAACTCATTAATATAAATATTCACTTTTTTTAAGTTGTTAAAACGAGGATATTTAATAGCTTTTTATTATGTTTTTCAACAATTTTCTTTCCTCATAGAATGAAGGATTGAAATGTATAAAAATAAAGTTGACGATGAAAATGCCAAAACCTCAATAAAAAAATAATAAAAATGAAAAAATAAAAATTGTTGTGTTTTTTTGCTTGAGTGTCAAATCTAGTCCTTGCAATTTCAGTTTTTTATAAATAATAAAATCAAATTTTATTTTTTTGGAATTTACCGTTAACTAAATATATTTTTTCCCAAAACCCTGAGCAAGTTAAAACAAATAATTAATTATTAGGATTAAATTCCAATTAATGGAATATAAAATAATAAAATTGGAAAAAGTTGGTGACTAGAGTATAAAATATTTCAAGAAAAGAGAGAAGAAAACATTTTCTTAATCCACGATGTTTATTTATCTTTGGTTGTAGAGTGTTTTCATAATTTTACTTAGTTTTTTTTATATATAATTATAATTGTAATGATAACCATTACAGTATTATTGTTGAAAATATTGAAAGGCATCGACCTTTCTCATGATACACTGTTCATTGTTAATTTAACTACGGGAAAGAGACCACTATATTTTGATTTTTGCTTAAGCTATTAATTACTTCCGCAGTGTGATTATTTTTTAAATAATTTTTATATTAAAATATATATTAATAATTTTTTAATTTTTTAAAAAATATTTTTAATATCATGATCTAAAACCTATAAATTATATGAAATTTTAATAAAAATAAAAAATGAATTTTTTTAAAATTTTTTAGTAATGCATATTCAATATACACTACATAAAACTTGTTTGGTATTGCGATGTGATCATGTTTTTTAAAAAAATTATTTTATGATTATTTTAAGTTAATATTATTTTAATATTTTTAAATTATTCTGAGGTAATAATATTAAAAATAATTTTTTAAAAATAAAGTAAAAATATTATTTTAATAGACAATGCTATTTCAGTCTTAGGCTCCGTTTGTTTGCAGGAAAGTTGTTTCCTTTTGAAAAGTGAATTCCGGGAAAGTGAATTCCGGGAAAAATGAATTCCTGAAAAGTAAAGTATTTTCTGATGTTTGGTAGTGTTGTGGAAAATGAACTGGAAAATACTTTCTTGTGTTTGGTTATGTTATAGAAAATGAACTGGAAAATAATTTATTAATATTTTATTTTTCTCAAGTTTATTAAAATAATAAGGAATAAATCTTACAAATTAAAAAGTTGAATAGTAATGAAATTGAAAAAAAATAATTTCATAAATTATCTCAAATAAAATAAATAATAATCAAAATAATAAAGATCAAATCTAAAAAAAAATGAAGAAATTAAAATAATAATAATTAACATTTCATAAAGTATTTCAAGTAAGATAAATAACAATCAAAAGAATGAGGACCAAATTTGATAGAAAAAAATTTCAATAAAAAAATAATTGGAGAAAAGTAAATAACAGTTATAAAAATGAGGACCAAAGTTAATATAAAAATTAAATTTTAAGAAATTAAATTAAAAAATAAATATTCAAAACAAAATATATATAGCAATCAAAAGTTTGAAGATAAAATTTGATATAATCAACAAATAATGACATTACTAAATTTTTCACAACTTCCGGAAAGTGTTTTCCTCCCAATTTTTTTAGGAAAACACTTTCCTGAAAATCAAGTTAAAGTTTTCTTTGACTGGAAAGTGTTTCCGTTTACCAACTTTTCTAACAGCAAAGAAACACAAGAAAGTTTGGAAAGTGATTTTCTAGAAACCACTTTCTGAAAAACAAACACAAAAAAGTTTGGAAAGTGTTTTTCCGAAAACCACTGTCCTGAAAACCAAGCCAATTTTTTTTTTGACTAAAAAATATTTTTGTTAACCAGAAAGTGTTTTTCATTGACCGGAAAGTGTTTTCTATTAACTGAAAAGTATTTTTTATTGACTGGAAAATATTTTTTATTAACTAACTTTTCTAATAACAAACAAATACAACAAAATTTAAAAAATAATTTTTTAAAAAACAAACATGTACTTAGTTAACTAAGTAACGACTGAGAACTTTTCATTTCTCCTCTCCAATCCCTATAAATTACAAATTCCTTCCCTCCCTCCTTCCTCTCCCGCGCGCTCCTTGACAAACAAAGCAATCACAAAACAGCACTGGACAAAGCACTTAATTAAAAAAAAATAAAAAATGAGCAAACCATCTCCGATTCTTAAAAAGCCAAAAGTAGAGCAGCAAAACAACGACGACGATAATGAAGTGTCAATAAATCAAGAATGCAAAGAGAACAACGGCAGAGAAGAAGAAGAAGAAGATAGCATGGAGGAGCAAAAAGTCGCTTTGATTGCTCTAATCGAACATCGTTCTCGTGAACTTCAGCATCTTAAGCAACGCGTTTCTTATTATCAAACTCAGGTTGCTTGCTTTCTTTCTTGTCTTTAATTTTCATACCTCTTCATTTCCTCTTTTTTTCTATGAAATATAGTTTCTTTTTATATAGTTATGATAGTATCTAGGGTTTTTCTTTGAATTTCTTAATCATCGATTGGAGGTTAACAAAACAGATCGTTTCGTTGTTTTTTTTTTTAATTCTGTTTTACAGATTAATTAAAAAAAGGAGGAAAAAAAAACTGAAATGAGTTGTTTAATTAGCTTTCTTAAAAAAATAAATCGGTGGTTGATTATTTGTTTGGAAAAGTGTGCAGGTTGTTGAAGCAGAGAAGAGGTTAGAGGAATCGCAGGTGAAATTGGGTCGGCTAAGTGGAAAAGGCAATGTAACAGCGCCTAATAAACCTTCTGTAGAGAATGGAATTAAGAATGTGAAGGTGGAGAGGAAATCTCCAAGTCCGGTTCATGTAAATGAGGCTTCTCCTGGAAGCCAGCCCCAGTCTAGGACTGAACTTGTGATTCCGAAAGTTCCTCAACCACTAAAATTGGTGGGTTCAGGTGCGAGAATTTCGAGTTGTTCTAGTGCTCAACCGAATTCTTCCACTCCCTCTAATGGTGTCGCGAATGCGAAAGTAGAAAAACTTAATAGTGTTGCGGATGTGAAAGTGGAAAAATCTAATAGTGATGTCAAGGTGGAAAGGTCTCACAAAAGTTCGTCTCCTGATGTTGAGGTTATTGAAATTCAGGATAGAGGAACGAAAAGGAAGATTGGTAACTCTTTTCTTTCTTTTTTTCCTTTCTTTTCGTTATTTCATGCCCGGGATTGCATTTCACTTCACTTGGAACTTAATTACTTGTTCACATAATTTTTCTGTATAATCTCAGAACAGAAAGAACACAAGGAATTGATTCCACTGGTGTCTAGGAGCTCTTCTCCATGCACAGTCCACTGCCATACAAGTAATCATATCCCTAGTCAGCACAAAAGAAAGTTGAGAAGTGTTGCTGTATGTCCAGCCAATGATCAGCTTTTTGTGTCCAGGTGATTCACCTCATTAACATCGAGAGTGAAGTAGTTGTTATGAATGAAAGTCATGTTCTTTTGACATGATTGAAGACTTGAGAACTTTTTGTTCCTTCATTTTACCTACAAATGACAACCAATCAAACTACAGAACATGACATAAAATTTGAATTCATCCTGCAATTTTTTATCCTTTCACCTTTAGAATGTTGAAGATAGGTTCATGAACATCCCTGCTATCACCTAGAGATGTTGTTTTGATTTGACTGATGATAAATTGTCGCTATTTTCCCTTTTCATTTTGACATTTTAAACTGTGGTTTTCCATAGGAAGAATGTCATCTTCTTAATCAAACACATTAGTTCTTTCAAATCTATAGAAGCATAGAGCATCATAAATCAATGCTTGTTGGTGGGGGGGAGGGGGGGACTTGGTCAACCACAGGTAGAAAGAAGAGCAACTGAAGCACGCATGGGTCCTGGAGATGAATATTTGGCACTCAAATTTTTAGCGGGGGTAGAGATTGAGTCATGAAGAGAAGAATACAAAATGAAGTGGTAGATTTAGAACTATATGTGCAGTAACAAAAAAGATGAAAGATGGATAAATATAACAGCATCACTTTTTGAAAAATATCTTCTTCTTTACCGAAAAAGAAGGCCACAAAAATGGCATTTACTTTATAACAATTGCTCAAAACATCATCGTTCCTAACTCATAGAGTGCACTCGAATGCGGGTTCAAGCATGGAGAATTTTTGTTCCAGCTATGAGTTCTTTGGTTTTAAGGAAGAAGATGCATGAGTGCGGCCATCGGAGAAGTTCATCTCAGATTCATTTTGCATGTTTTTCTTTACTTGATACTTTTCCAATCTGTAATGTTTGTTATGTAAAATAGGCATGGTATTGGTATTCTTGTATTCACTTGTAATATCTACAAAATCTAACTTTTGTCCAATGTTTTGAATACATACAGTGCTTTGGATGGAATGGTCCACCTATGGCAACTTCAAGCTCGAGGGTAAGTCTTAAAGTTTGTGTGAACTTATTTACATTAACTTTCATGAATAGCTGATAGATGATCCACAATGTGAAGAGCATGCCTACCATGCCATAACACATGGTGAACCATGAACACAATGAGCATGTTAGATGGAGAGTTGCAAAAAGTGGCTGATGCTTTGGTACTGGTATTTCAGTTAGACAGTCAATTCCTTACATTTA